CTACTGGGTCGAACGAGAAATGTCTTTCTGCATAAATTTGCGGAGCTAATGATTTGCGATACTAAAGCGCGACGGGAAGTGGATCGCAGACACGTTCAAGATGTTTTCCGACTGGCGGTTATACCGGCTAATACGCCTTATTTAATTGCCACAGGGCCGGGTTGTGGAGGCAGAACCAGACAACCAGACCTAGGCCCATACTAGTGGTATTTTATAGCATACAGCCGGAACCCTCTGCTCTCTAGGGCTGTTGCGGTGGAGATGAACCCCAGGGGGTGCATCAAAGTTACCCCTGATACAGTTCATCACGCCCAGCGGGGTGTCATCCCCATTGTTCCTGCAACAGGAATAATGCAACAAAAGAAGCTCGGAGTTATTCTGAGCAAACTAAACGCCCATATGGCGAATGGAGTAGGAGTGGTTGAGGCATGCCAACGCAGGATGGTGCATCAAAGTCTATCAGCTGCGTTACCGTTGAGCAAGTCCACGTCCTTAAAACCTAAACCAGATGGGCAAAAAGGCGAAAGCAGAAGGGGGAAAACGCTGAGACAGTCCCGAGCTGGAGTCCCCAGGAAGAAAACAGATAACAGAAGAGCAGACGGCCCACTAAAGACCGCTCCGTCGGAGTCATCCAGGGCTGAGGGAGTTAAAAAGATGGGTGAGTCTACGGTCGCTGATAGCAAGGCGAAATCAGCGTACGTTAGTTGGGCCACAGTGGTAGCAAGGAATATTCAGGACACTCCCCCTCTAAGTAGGACAATACCCATACTTAGAAGGCAGCGAGCGCCCACGAAAAGACTCAGTGAAGAATTTGGGTTAACCCTCAATGACATAACGAAGTCTGTGGGGGGTATAGCCCGGTCAATCACGGAGCCTGATCGCCCGGTACCCGCAAATAGGGTATCAAAAGAAGTAACAGCTCCTCGGGCCTTAAGTCTGAGGATCCATCCGAAGCAATAGAGAAGAGTTGTATGAAAGCGAAGACAGACACCGTCACGGTGTGGTACACTAACGCCTGCGGTGTTAGGGGAAAATGGGGAGAGTTGGCGACGCGCATCCAAAACTCGGTGATAATAGTTATCACTGAAACTTGGATGGAGCATGAGCAGGATTTAGAGAAGCCCAGAGACTACTTGGCTTATAGGCAAGATAGGGTGGATGGCAGACAAGGCGAAGGAGTACTCCTGCTGGTCAAAGCCGCTTACACGCAATGGGACTCGCCAATAAAACTGGCAACACCTAATATTCAAGCCAAGACGTATAGTGTCCTCTAAGGAAGACGACCGTTAGGAGTGCTACTAGTCTATCGCACACCCCAGGCGGAACCCACAGAAGATATAGAACTACTTGCTACAATGCAGGAATTCATATCAAGGACCAAAGGATCTTAATTCTGGGTGATTTCAATCTTCCGGAGATCTGTTGGGTAGAGGGAGAGGCTCCCGTTTGGACAAAGGGAGAAAGCATTCTAACATGACTGCATGAGCCTGCGCTCAGTCAGCGTATCATGCAGGCCGCAAGATTTCGCAACGAACAGAGGGCCTCCGGCTTGGACTTAGTTATAACGCGGTATTTATCGGACATAAGTGAGGTAGCAGTGGAGACTCCACTGGGTAAGAGTGGCCATGGGGTACTTAGGTTAGTATTACCCTTGAAACACAGCAAACCGGCCGCCCCACTAAAACGGTGCTATAGCCGTATAAACATTGCTGCCCTACAAGAGGCCGCAGAACACGTAGACTGGGAGCCACTATCTCCCGAGCCAACGTTGGAAGAGCGATGATCTGTCATTAAGATAGGGCTACTTAGACTGACCGATAGGTTTGCACCCTTCAAACCTAGCAGCAATAGGCAACGACCAGCTTGGTTGAAGCCGCAGCTAGATCGGGCACTAGTAGTCCAGAGAAGATTCTGGGCCCGTTTCAGAGCGTACCGGACTGCCGATGCGTGGTCGATCTACAAGGGGGCAGGCAATAGAGCACAATCCCTTCAAGGGAGGCATAGTATGAACATGAGAAAAAGTTAGCGCAAAACATAAGGCATAACCCGAAAAGGTTTTATGCATATGTGCAGGCAAACAAAAACACTAAGGAGGGAATAGGTACAGTAGAGGTAACGGAAGGCGTAAATGCCATCACCGACCAGGCAAAGGCAAGTGCACTCCTTACGTTTTTCAAGGGAATTTATTGGCCACCTACATCAGGACAGAATGTAGACTGCAGTTTGGTTAGAAGAAGGGAGCATTTCACGGAGTTCAACCTCTGTGAAATCTACATGGTCCGAGAGCTCAACGCCTTAAATAGGCATAAAGCAGCAGGAACGGATGGATTGCATCCCGTCGTGATTCAGCCTCTAGTAAATGCATTAGTGGGACCGGTCACTAAGTTATTTAAGGAGTCCATCGGTATTTGCAGGCTTCGAGAGGACTGAAAAACTGCAACCGTAGTGGCCATCCATAAGTCAGGCCCTAGACACCGTGATTGCAACTATAGGCCGGTAAGTTTGACCCTGGTCTTCTGCAAATGTCTCGAGCGGATAGATAGGAAACAGATATGTTCTTATATGTTGGCTCATGGTCTTCTGATTTAAGCCCAGCATGGATTTGTTGAGAAAAGATCGCGCCTAACCAACTTGCTTGCATTTCTAGACGAAGTTACTAAAAGAATAGACGCAGGTCGCCAAGTAGAGGTTTGCTACTTAGATTTCAGCAAAGCTTTCGACTCTGTCAGTCATCAGCTTCTGGATCTAAAAATGCAGACAGTGGGGATTCTCGTTAAGACAAGAAAGTGGATTGGCTAATTTCTCAGCTGTCGCACATTCAGTGTGAGAGTTGGAAATTATACAACCAAACCTGAGGGAATATTGAGTGGTGTCCCACAGGAATCGGTGTTAGGGCCGTTATTATTTTTGATCTTCATTAACGACCTTGCGAAGGATCTTCAAAATCCTTGCTTCATATTCACCGATGATGTGAATTTAGCTGGGGAAGGACTGGAACAGGATAGAAGATGGTTGCATAAGTGGGAGCTGCCAATGAATCTAGGTAACTATCAACTCTTGACCACAAGAGCCAATGATGACATGAGAGGTGTGATACATCTGCAGCATGTCACTGAGGCAAAGGATCTAGGAGTAATGATCACGAACGACTTCAGGCCATCCCTGCAATGTGAGAGTGCGGCTAATAAAGCTCGACACGAACTTTTTAGGTTGTACGCTGTTGTAAGTTTCATAAGACCCGAGGTTTTTGTACCGTTGCACAAAACTATAGTGCGTCCTCATTTAGAATATTGCG